TTACCCCAAAACAAGTCGAAGTACGTTCGGCAACATCACTTGACAACGGCAGAAGCTGTAGCAATTAAAATCATGATCCCACCACCGTGCAAGCAGAAGAAAATAGTTGCTGCACTTGACTTGCCTTGGCCACGCCCAAACCTGCGCGATGATCCGAATCATGACTTCAATCATGTCGTGATGACGCTACATGGCGTGATAAGTAGCACGTGAAAAAGGTCATCGGAAATTTCCAGAATCGACCTTGGTCCCCCTTCCCTCCCCCATTTCTCCATTTGCTCCGATTAACCTTGACAGACATTGTACTTTCACATTTAACCTCAATGGACCAATCACATTTATTTCTATATTATATATGAACACTCATAACTGTAAATGCCTGAAGACGAAGTTACGAAAACAAGCTTGTTCGCTTAATTGTTTGTTTTTTGATATTCTTATGGGTAAGCCTGGTGCCAACGTAACTACTATGATCGGTGCTATTAGGTGCAGATAAATGAGATAAAGTGGGGGGGGGACAGATAACGATAAACAGGAAGGACAAATGAGTAGAAGTTTTCGACAGTTTCACCGCGCATAGTTTGATGTTTCGTCTCATATGGGGAACAGGATTTCAGCTAACGAACCGTACAACAATCACACCACTGACTTCTCTTCCATCTATCTAGCCATTCCAGCCATCAACAATCCCCTTCCCTTGGGCCCCAGTCCAGAAGGTGAGCCGTACCAATCGAAGCCTATGCTGATTCTAACTTCTTCATACCCCTAAACCAGGACCGATCGCCGCGACGTTCCTTCCAGCCCTGCCCAGCACATGTAAAGAAAGCACGGAAAGGAACACTATAGAGAAAAAACAGAACACGATCGAGCCACCGGAGACGGTGTAACGCGATTACACCTGTAACAGCACGACTATCAGTACTCAACACATGATGACGAATTTCTCCATGGCGTACACGATGCTCCCACGAGACACAAGCAATAGTTCGAGGGTATTGGTGATCGAATACTGAAAGTTGGTTAGAATTCTTAGCTAGGAGATCAGGTTTAGCGACCGTAAGGCAAAACAGTAGGAACCATGATGACGTGCACCCCTCTCTCAACGGAAAGTAAGACGTCATGGCGTCGCCACAAGTGCTACGGGTCAGCAAAAGCTGTTCTAGCTTTCACTATTCTTGATGTGATCTCTTTCATAACACCAAACCCACCTACAATTAAACTCCCGAGGTGGTTAAAGCTCTCGACTAACTGACCACCACAACGGGCGAGCGCGGGCACAGGCTCCCGTTAGTCTTGTACACGTTCTTTGCACTTAGATGAAGCAAAGCACGTACCATGCATGGATACCTCTACCACCAAGTGGGGTAAAGCACGCTGAAGTGCCTGTACATTACTACCCCTACAAGGCGATGTCGTAGGCATATTCTAAGTCAAGTACTCTGTTTCCTGGCAGAAGCTCAACTCGACCGTTTGCTAAACCGCATCAAGTATTCTGTAGAACATTCTCTACAGCAAGGTTGAAGGAGAATGGTGATGTAGGGCAGCAGTGACGCACTTCAGTGGAGACAAAAAAGGTGGCGAAACAAGCCTGACTTATGAGTATAAAACTTTTTAGGAGCAATACATACTTGTCAAGTACTCCATTTCCAAACAAACGGTTCCATACTGCGGTCCCATCGATACAGTCGAAGACCACGCGGATGTCTGAGAACACAATGATCGTTGGTTTGTGGTCAGCATGACGGTACTCTAGCAATTATAACAGATCATCAACGATCATCATCAACGTACAGCGAAAAACAGTGAACTTCACTGATCGCCACCAAACTCGCAATGCATATAGTTATTGAAAATCTGTAGGGTGCACAGGAATCGGGTCTATTTTCAGAGTGGAGGAAGTGAACCTCTATGGTCAAGATAGAGTACGCAGTCTAACTGTGCATAAATAGCGTTTCAAGCATTTCTACGTGATAAGATATGATAACAAGAACGCCACTAGTGTCGGTTCGCTGACATATCTTCCAGCATCTCCAACCAGTCAGTCGCCGAGCCTTTCGGAACCCAACCTGGAAGGCGCGAGATGCCTAGTTTACCGAATAGCTCTATGCATTTATTTATACCTCACCTCCACGTCATCTGTTGACCACCACATGGTTTCCTCCAGCCCGGAGCGGCTACAGCGAATACGGTACGGTGCGGTAGGCGACGGTTGAGTATACGCAATATGTGCCCCAGCCAGTGAAGCCTACTAATCTGAATTCGCTGAACTAGCAAGCTTATCCCTGATAAACTTCCCAACACAGGGTGGCTTATCTCCAGATTACTAACCCGATCGCTCTAACCCACGGGAGTGAAGATTTGGTCGATACATCCACGACTGGCGCGAAACTCAGCGTGCTCCTCGCTCGTATAGTACAACCTACGAAGAATGACGAACGCTAACTTTTAAGCTTTTGGGATGACGTATATCCCCTGTGGTTGGCGCAAATACCACGTGGGACCCTCTTAAAGAAGGAAGTAGGTGCGAGAATGATCAACATGAAAGACTGATGGAACCGTGTATCTCATGAATAAACACATACGGAAGTCAAGCAGGATGAAACTGGCGATTTAAACGAGCGGTAAAGTGAAATCATTCATCCTAATTGATTCTCAAAACTGATAAAAGCACTTTATTTTTGTAAATGCATCAAGTCAAACAGTATAAAAGCGAAGAGAAGAACAATGATCACAAGAATTCATTTGAAGGACTCACTTCTTCATCCAGATCGTACTCAACAATATCATCTAGTTCGTCCGGTGATTTCTCTATAAAACGTATATAGCCAAGAGCTTCTTTCAGAGGGACCGGTTTCTTGAACAAGAAATCGGGATCAATTTCGAACACGGGTTTTGGGAGTTGAATTTCGGTTTTTCTTTCTTCCGGATTGGCAAGATTGGTGGAAGCGTTGCATCTCAAAGGGTCCGAGTTGATTGAAAGCCTTTCATCACGATTGCCTGATTTTTTTGAACTATTCTTTATCTTTGATTTGTTCTTGGACGGCTGAACCTTACGCTCAGAGCCGCAATCACCACAACTTTCGAGCTGCGGATGATGATGATGACTGAATGCTGTGTTTCGCATTTTGATGTTATCCGAGGCAAAAGATTGGATTCTGAATGTGAGTGGGACGAATATACTGCAGCGAAATGTTTGCCCACCGGTTGTGGGTGTTGCTTCGAAAACTACCGAGCATCGAGAATCGGTTGGGGCCAATAAACTCGTTGGTTTTTGAGTACTGAGTTTATCGTTCTGTAGGAGAGGGGTTGACAAAAGATAAGACGGCAGAGACAATTGACCGCTGATTGCCAACGCATCTGCATTGGTTGTACAGTCGAGCTGCGGGGCTGGAATCTCAATAGGTGCCGGTGGACGATGAATAAGCATGTGCTTTTGCATATGAGCATAGGACTTGTAAATTTTTCCGCAAGTTTCGGCGGGACACATAAACGGAGGTTTGTTTCCTTGTATACGAGAGAGAAAGTCATCAATGTCAAAGTCCACTGGATGGTACATCATCTAAAGAAAAGGAAAGAAATACCATTACTTTAGTAGGACAGTACTCAGGTTAGCAACAGTTATTGTGAATATTATCAGTGCGAGAAACTACCGACTGGTTGGACATGAGATAGCAAACAAACTTGTTTCAGGTGCTTCGTCCATGCGGTACCATCAATCAACCGAAAGATAGTAAATAATTTATTAATTTTCTTTACAATATATCGCTTCAGGCATTTACATATATAGTTTGATCAGTTAATAGATTAAAACAAGACCTAAGCTGATATTCAATGAATGAGTGTGTGAAATGTTCGGTTGACGACAAGCCATTGGGTTACGATAAACGGATAGGAAAAAACCGGGTAAACTAAGAGAAGTGGACACGATAAAAAAGGTGTTAGTCAAGAATGAATAAAAAAGGTGTGGGAGTGTGAGAGAAAGACAGTAACTCCACACATACACGTGGGTAACCTGGATACACTGGGGTTAAGCGGAGCTGAATGCTACAATGCTCGTCCCCGGGTTGTGGATAGGGGGATACCTTCGCCGAAGACGGTTAGCTGCGAATAAATTGTGGCATACAGCAACAGTCGCGAACAAACAGCAGCGGCACTACCAGGGTGCGGTGAATTTCAGGCTGGTCACCTGGCTCCTGCTTAAAGGCGGCATAAACTCAACGATGGAATCGTGACAAAGGTCGATGTGACTGGCCTTTTAAAACTACAGTCATTGACCCCCATAATTCCGAGGCGAGGGATTAATTCGTGTTGCCTTGTAGTTTGCACTTGATTGTGCAAAGGCTAGAGGTGCACCCTCGAAATGAAAAACGTTGAGTACCGCTGGGGACGGCTCTCGTACCAAAATCCCAAGTAACTGTATGATCATCATCTGTGGCGCCGTCGCGACATCCGGTTGTCTGTCAAGGGTAGAGTATATGCTGTGGCAGTTCGACCGGTTCTGTTTTATGGTGCAGAGACTTGCCATTAGGAAAACAGGATAAAATAGACTGTCGGTGTTCGAACACCGCTATCCACGCAGCATTGCACTAGTCTGGTGGGGTAACCGGACGAGCAATTTTGAGGTTAGGCGCAGAGTTTTAGGTAATCGCGGTCGCCCACTGGAGCACATGGCCGACCTCCATAGATTATGTTGGTCGGAGCATGTTACGCATGTCACCAGATAGGTTGCCACGGTTAGCGATGTTCGCCACGGCAGGTAGTGAGTGGAAAAAGATCAAGGGCGGTCAAACGAAGACCTGGCATTAGTGTATGAAACCCCTAACCAGGAGTCTGGGTCACATAGGTCTCGTTAGG